GGGGAATCAGGCACACATACTTGGATCTACTAATTGACTCCTTGGTAGCTGAGCACTTGTGGAGCCATCTGTGTGCAATAAATTTCACAAAAATCTAGTGGACAATACAGACCCAAATGAATTATGTGGCTCTCAAATTAAGTTAAAATTTCCTCTACTTTCTATATCTAATAAATATCATGTACATTTTTTCAGTTATCTGGAATTAACAAACATAAACAAAAACAACTAGTGGGGCACATGTCAACATAGAAGACTGCATCATAAGAGGGAAACTGACATGCTTGTTTTCATGCCATGTATACACCAATAAATAAATCCAGGATTGTGGCTCTGATACAGGCTATTTTGGGCCTAATATCCTAAAAGAACATCCTCCAAATACAGGGCAGTCTGTAGGATAGGACTATAAACTGTATTTGGAATGCCATAATACAGGCATATCATACAAGTCCTCAGTATGGCTATTCTTGACATGGTATGACATCAAAAGGCTAACATCCAAAAGGTTAACATCCAAAACCTACAATAATAGATCTAAGATCTACTAAATGGATATCCATGGTAATTTTCCTTAGTTTTCATTACATTATCAAATTATATTAGATTATAATATAATAAGGATAACCATTCAGAGCTTCTTAAACACTAATAATATAAAACATAGAGATATTACATTGATACATTTGTTGTCATTGCTTACAATTTTGTATGCATAGTTGTGTTAATAAAAAAGGTCCTAATAATTCCAATTCCAGCTCTAATTTCCAAAGATGCTTGGAGCTGAAGTGAGAATTACTGCAAGAGTAGCAAACCAGGCAGTGCTGTTGTGTGCATAACAGATGGGCCCATGTCATATTAATTCCACAATGCATGACAGGAGTTGTGTGAAGATTGTGATTACCCTTTTAGATTCAGGGTTTGGCATTTTGGGGTTTCCGGAACCATGATGCAAGGAATAGACAAGAGTTGTACCTCCTTAATATTAACAAACAATCTGGCACTTTACCATCCAAATCAAAGTCAATCTGACCCAGACACTCAGCCTCAACATTGAAGATTTTGTAGAGAACAAATTTCATAAAGGTAACATGCTGACCTTTCACAAGGATGGCCCTTTTTCACACCTAGCCAAGAGCACAAAAAAGTTTTTGTTGGGTCAGTCATCTTGGACTTCCTAGCAATGAGTCATTTAACCCAATGGTGACAGGTGAAGAAGAAAAAAAAAAAAACTCTACGCTCTGGCAAACAATGGGAGCACGACGACTTTGAGCAAGTGAGTTTGGTGCATCAGCCCGAATCACTGGCTCGCCGCCCCAGCGTACAGCCACATGCCACTTTTAGAGTGGTTTGTTTTCACGCCTAGCGGCGTCACCCATCGTGAAGGGGTTAAAATGACTTGGCATGTACTATACTATGGATACTGCACAGTTTCTGCAGTATATTTTTTCATATCACTGGTGGTTTAAGCATGTTCCTCATTACAGCAACCTACTGCATTACGTCCAGTAGTAATCTGTAAAGCTTTTATGTCACGGCAGTGTAGCAGCTTTCATTACTTTCCAAAATATTGTCACTAAAAATGTTACTTTAGTGGCACTATATAATAAACCTTCTCAATCAGCCAAATAGAACTTGTAACCATCTTGCAAAATAATTAAGTGATAAATGTGTCACTTCACAACACAGAATACATGGCCTCATATTTACAGGACTTATTAGAAATTCTTACTAGGCTTAACCATTTGATTGCAGAAGGTATAAAATCATGCTATGGGTATGGTATAGAGTAGCAGATGGCACTGCAAAATTACATATCCCACAATATTGACTCATCAGAGGGAGCTTGTCTTTTTCTCTAACAGTAGTGCTTTAGTTCATAAAGTAGAGTTATATGCTGCTAAGTGCCTATTGCTATGCTTGAAGTAACCAACAGACCGAGGGAAACTGCCAAGGCCTACCAACAATTCTGTATCACTGGCCAATAGCCAATTTTTAATACCACAGATGCAAATATTAACTATACTTGCATCTTTTTCTCCATGATGACTTTAAATACCTCACTTCCCTTAGTCAGGGTAGAAGCTCTAGCCTAATATAAATCTGCAGAAGAAAGCCATTCAATTAGATATCTCACCTTTACTTGGACACATTTTCTACTAAAAAATAACAGACATGGAGAGAATACAATCAGTCAACCTCTATATGTATTGTACATGAAATAGTTGGAGAGAGACATTACACAAAATATACTCTCTTCAGGGAGCTTAACACTAATAAGTATAGTTCATTCCAAATAACAGTCCCACCATGCTCTGGGAGCAATCCTCTTTGCTACCAAGATAAAATGGATAACTGGCCTGTAGCTTTGTTCAGAATCCTTTTTCTAATATCATTGATCTTGTTCCAAATTCAAAACGTTTAATGGCACCAGGAAAGTTACAATCATCATTCAGATGAAAACAAAATCAAACATATCTACCTATATACTTTTGCCTAAAAAAATTCAATACAATAACAAAATCACAATCACACTTGAAATAGAATAAGAAAAACTGTTGAGGATATCAAGCTAACCACTCATTGTCCAAGGACCCAGGAAATAAAATGATCTTATTCATGTTGACAAATGTAGAAAAGGTTTGAACGAGAATGAATAACCTTTCCTTTAGTATTTTCCATGACTTATCTACATCCCTGTTTACTCAATGCAAATCTGATCTTGCATATTTTTACCCTAAACTATACAAATAAATACACATATGAAGATTTAAAAACTGCATATGCTTTCAGTACCACAGTTTTAGTGTTCGGAAAAAAGGTAACCATTTAAAATGTGCAAAAAGTAACACTGAGGTTGAACTTAGCCCCGATTGGTGTGGATGGCAAGAAAACATGCCATGCCCACTGCAATACAAGTTCATCCCTTGTCTTTACACATAGATGGATCTACTAGTGCTTAGTCACCAAGGAGTCAGCTATTAGTCCTATCTATCTCACCTGTTTACCCTTTTCCTTGATTTTTGGAAAGCTTCATTTGTATTATTTTACTTTCCTGCAAATTCAAGAAATGGGGAAATCAGGTGCTGTCACTAGGGCCTACTCATAGACTCTTTAGTGGCTGTGCACATGTGGAACCATCTATATGTAATAAAATTCAAAAACTACAGGGGACGGCACAGAAATCCATAGTCCCTTTAAACTGTCAGCAAGGGGTTAAGAAACTTGTATATCCTGTATGAACATGTCATATGGTACATCTTGCAAACTCCCTTTAATTAAACAGCAATTACGCATCTATATCATGTATAGAAGTAAATACTGTAACTTGTTTGGTTATCCCTCATTCTTTATTTAGTTATAGAGACATAAATATTTGCATCAATTAAAAAGCAGGTCACAGCTCTCAAAGAAATCAAATGTCATGGAAGTTATTCAAAGAGATACTTTTTCACACTAAAGATATCACCACAATCGTCATGGTGACACCAGACTAATTATCTCTAAATAGCTAATACTTTGAAATCAGAAAAGGGTTTTCTCTGAAACTAGTATATTTATCAAAAACCATCAATAGTATTTTAAGGCCAAGAAAAAAAATCAGATAATACACTCCATGCACAACTTAAAAGAACATCCCTTGAAAAACAAAAATACTATTACAAATATGTCTAATTCATCTCAAGACTTAGAGATCAAATCATATTCCTGCTACTTAACTGTCTTTTGTGTGTGTGTAGGGGGGGGGGGGGGAGATGAGGTGCATTTGTACACATGTGGTTGACAAATAAAAACACAGGAACAGCACAGATTGCATGTGGTTGCCAAGTGTCTGTCGAGCTGGTGATTACCATAAACTTCAACAGATATAATCATTCACAAAGATAAAAAAAGGATAGATGACATAAACATGGGCAAATGCTGCCTGAAGGTAGGCAGGGGCAATTCATAATCCTATTCAAAATAATAAAATCTCACCTAGGTCCCAAAGATGTACATTAATCATACCAAAAATATAACATATAATACTAATACTAATACTAATAATAATTATAATAATGCTTCATATATATACACATGGTTTCCTTGTCATGTGATGGGTTTACAAAAGAAAATACATTGAATTGATTATCTAACATACACTAATAACAGTGAAGTGAAAACCTTCATCAGTGCAAACTCATTAAACAAACTTCAAAATAAGAAAAAAACAAGGAATAATAACTCTTGTAGATATTTAGCAAGATCCTTGCTTGAAAAATATATACACCATTACATATATCACAAAAAAAAATATTCATGAAACATTATCATTCTCATGCAGTTTCTCATGTCTTCCACAGGCATTTCTGATATTCGCTATGTTCTACTCAACCATATACATACTAATCACTACAACACCAGTGCTTTACCCAAATTAAATTATATCATTCTTAAATTCTAATGCAAAAAATCACCCCTTCATTTCACAAATTTCATTCATGCCAGAAAAAATCATGAACATTCATTGCTGTCACAGATCTTTATTCTCTATCAATCATTTTGAACTATTGTCATTTTGCTACACAATATCTGGACCTTCAAAGAATAGGTTTAAAAACAAAAGTATATGAAATGAAAGATGTGGTCCAAGACAAAAATAAAACCAGATATTACAGCATCAAACAATGTCTTATACTAATCTAAATATCTTAACATGCATGAACCCCCACATCAAAAATGACTGACTGATTTAATAAAAAGGAAATGTTATTATCTGAATCTCTTACTATCAACACCATGTAAATAATATACATCTACATCGTTTTCTTACAAACCATAGACTGAGAGAACTAAACATTCTTTATCCAAGTTCTGCTTCCCTGAGAAATGGATTACGGCTTCATGCAAGCATTACAACACTCAAGAAGTTCAAATCTACCGGAGTTTCTCACTCTCGCATCCGCTTACCGCACGCAATCAAATAAAACGTATAGAGCACAAGCAAGTGATGAACTTACAGTCTCTATCAACTTCCGATTTTCAAGGAGCTGAGACTTGTCCTTGATTTCCCCCGAGGCCAACCAGGACTTGATTTGGTCTCGTAATCTCTGAAGCTTCTTAATCTCCTTCTTAAGGTCCGCTTCATATTTTTCCTTTTGGTTACTGTTGGAGGCATTATGGACTTTTTGCCAGATGTCCTCAAATTGTTCCACGCCCTCAGCGACCTTTTTCAGGCACCGATCAATTTCACCTGAAACAGAAGAGAGCCAACATTGAGTTTCCATGCCGAGAAAAATACACTAACATAAATAATAACATTGATAAATGACAAGAAAAAGAGAGAGAGAGAGAGAGAGAGAGAGAAGAGAGAGAGAAGAGAGAGAAGAGAGAGAAGAGAGAGAGAGAGAGAAGAAGAGAAAGAGAGAAAGAAAGAGAAAGAAAGAGAAAGAAGAGAAAGAAAGAGAAAGAGAGAAAGAAAGAGAAAGAGAGAAAGAAAGAGAAAGAGAGAAAGAAAGAGAAAGAGAGAAAGAGAGAAAGAAAGAGAAAGAGAGAAAGAAAGAGAAAGAGAGAAAGAGAGAAAGAAAGAGAAAGAGAGAAAGAAAGAGAAAGAGAGAAAGAGAGAAAGAGAGAAAGAAAGAGAAAGAAAGAGAAAGAGAGAAAGAGAGAAAGAGAAAGAAAGAGAAAGAGAGAAAGAAAGAGAAAGAGAGAAAGAAAGAGAAAGAGAGAAAGAAAGAGAAAGAGAGAAAGAAAGAGAAAGAGAGAGAAAGAAAGAGAAAGAGAGAAAGAAAGAGAAAGAAAGAGAAAGAGAGAAAGAAAGAGAAAGATAAAGAAAAAGAAAGAGAGAGAGAGAGAGAGAATTAATCACTCAATTATCCAACATGTGCACCCTTACAATAAAACCCGCGTAAAATGTCTCATCAGCTGTCAACTGCCTCCTTCTGGGGTTTGGAAAGGCCAACAATATAATGAACCAGTAACAAAGCGAGAGTGTTGGTATATGTAAAATGACATTCCCAAAAGTTTTAAAATACATTTGGCTTACATAAAATTTTTGTTCTATAATTACTATCATACCTTATTTACGACAATACTTGTGTTCATAATGTTAATCTAAAGGGCACTATTAGAAAAATTATCAATGAAAATATCTCCTTTGTCTGTACCTTGCATTTAGGAGCTTTACTCTATTTCTCAAGTCACAGATTGTCTTGAGTCTGTCTGTAAGCCTACCATAATTTCTAGCCATATAATTCTGTAAGTGTAGAATTTACTTTGAAACAAATTATCATGACCACCTTAAAATATCTCCTTCAGATGAACAATCTTATATAAACGTCAACTACAATGTCTAAGTTTGATACCGAGATTTTCGAAAGAGATTAGTAAAATAATCATGTTAAAATCTTAGTAAGCAGAAACAACAGATAACAAAAATACTATCAAGATAAGATATAAGCCCGCATAGTATAAAACCTAAACTTTCTTTAAGACTGCTTCAGAATCAACAATCACACAGACACACCTTCCTATAACCTGCCTATGGGGTTTCTTATTCATCCTAAATATTAAAAAGTCATTAAAAACAGTCATAAAAATGCAAGTTTTCTCCCAAGCCACCCCTGCATACAATAGTACCAAAAAATGACACTGCTCCCATACAGTCAAAAACATTAATGAACCTCCTCCAATGATTTGCTAGTGGACACATAACTCAGTCAATGTATTTAACCACATGATCTGTTTTGAATAAACCAGAACAAAAACTCTTTGCACTAATCTCATGATTATAAGACGTGACATCTGATACAGTCTAACATCACCTCTTGACTAAGACCTACTTGCATTCAATCCCTCAGACTAAACAGATTAAGAACTATAATAAAGTATATCTAAGGAGATCAAAGCAATATTTTTCATCTGAACTCATGGACTCTCCCAATGGCCTTTCACTGACAATATATGATAGTGAACCAGAATGAGTAACAAACAACAAAATCAAAGAGAATCAGGACCTATCTCTTAATAGCAATGGAAATTGAATAAATGAAAACCAGGAAAATGCTAATCAAAGTGAATATTCCTCACAACTTCTTCATTTACAAAAAGTCTTTCAAGCATAGCAAAAAAACAATCAAAGATCTACAGCCCTTTCAACAAGCACTTCACAACAGCCTGCAAGTCAGTAACAATAAATAGAACAGATAGTAATAAAGGTCAGTACTAAGGAATACTCATGAAAGAAAAAGCTGGCACCTGAGCTTGGAGAGACAGGATTTTCTTAGTTTAGGATAATATGAAAATAAGGAAAAACGTCCACAGGAAAAACTAGCCTATCCTATTTTTCCTCTGCTTTGCAACTTTAGTTTCAGATGCTTTCAAAGGAATTTATATTCCCTTTACTTGCTTTGGTGATGTTTATGCACTATAAAAATATTTCTATCAACACATCAGTCATAATTCAAACTCCAATTGTGAAGTAATTTCAAACTTACATTACTGCCAACATAAACTCTCCTA